GAGACAAGGAAAAAGTGTCCCCAAGGACTAGAGTCCAAGCTGTCACTGGAGGTAAACTGTGGGAGCTGAAGACAAATGACTGTGAAGCAGAGTGGCAGCTGAACCCAGAGCTCACCACAGGGCTAGTCCAGCTAGCCAGCTTGCTCCTGGAGTTCCCTGCCTCCCAGCGTTCACAAGCAGGATTCCACACCCACTTGGCATTTATACAGAACCTGGGGATGCAAAGTCTGTTTCTCATGCTTGTGTGGACACACTAAGCCATCTCTCTATCTCCTCAGATTTTGGACAAAAGCTATGTGGTTTTATTGGCATGGAGTTTCCATTGCTGCAGCAAGCCAGATCTAACAATTTTGATCCCTCAATATGTTCCTGTCATTTTCACTGTGGATTTTGGACATAGATCTATACTTAATCTTAGTGACTTTTACGCAGTAGTTCATAAAGAATTACATTTTAAAAGAAACCTAAGAAAGCTTTATATAACTACCGTCTTTCACCAAAGGCAAAATAAAAATAGCATTAATGCTTGCTCTGGAATCATGTAATATGTTTAACAAAACCTGAATATAGTGATAGATATGAAAATGAATGCTGTTTCAGCTTGCATGTAAAGAATACAATTGAAAGTAGCAGTGATTGACTTCTGTAGAGAAAATTTGAGCAACTACATGTATAAGAAGAAAACTAAACATAAAACATAGAACCAAAATATAACTCAAATACATTTTATTATAAAAGTAATTTTCTTCTCTTAAAACACGAAATTGGCTTCAGTTACATAAATCCAAGTTTACTTGTATCAGACATACAAATATGATATAGCCAAAAGTCACAAAATTCACTCATGGTAAGCAATATTTCAAACAGAAATAATCAATGGCTGAGGAGATGATGTGTTGATTGTGTAATGTCCCTAGCTTCTTCACAGCAGTCTGACAATATTCTTTCTCAAGGTAGAGGACTATCATATCATGCCGAAGAAAAATGAAAAGATGAAAGTGTAAGTACGAGTGTGGCCGCTGGAGATGAGCTCAGTGCTATAGGACTCACCTGGCATACCTAGGACCCTGGGTTTGATCCCCAAATGAAAAACAAGCGAGAACAGGAAACAACATGAACTTCTATAGAAAGTTCTAGAAAAATCTAGAATGAATTAAAAAGCTCATGGGTATCAACAGCAGATCAACACTGGGGATTCTTCCTAAAGAACACAGAATTATACCTATCTCCGTGTATTTTCCAACTTTGCCTCTACCAGAAACCATCAGAAGTAAAAGCAGTGTTCTTACAAATAAAATGGGGAAATGCTGGATATTAATTATCAATAAAATCAAGTGAGACAATGGCAACACGAGTATTAAGATACCTGTCATTAATAAATGAAAATAATTCTATTAGTAGAATATAAAGTCCCACAGAATCACTGAAGATAGTGCCTTAATGTTATGTATAGACTCTGCCATGGGGGGTCAAAGGATGAATATAACTTTGAGGAGATGCAAGGAAAGGAAGACGACTCTGCGTAAAAAGTTCTCTGTGAAGAGAACTTTATATAAAAGGAAAAGAGGTCTATATAAAAGAAAAGTAACCCTGTGCAAAAGAAAAACAGTTCTACATACAAAAGAGAAAATAAAAACAAAGATATATGATATATGACTTGCTTACATGCTTACCAGCTGTCTACATCAAGAGGAAGGCGACTAGATGAATCAAGAAAGTAATAACCAAATTCTGGCTGAACTTCATTCTGTTATAGAACAATAATTCCTACATCCATGGAATGGACAGGCCATTTGTAGGAAAATGGCTTAAGGTTATCAACATTTCACTTTCCCATGTAATGACATTTAGAAAACAAAATTCAAAATTTAAAGATCTATCATTTGCTATCATTCTGTTGTAAAGAAATGCCATTTTATTCTATTAGCAAGGAAATACTTGATTATTAAATATAATTTAAGAGCTCTACATTTATAATTTTGACTACAGAAAAACTACAGGATAAAACTACATTAAATCAGAAAATAAATGAATGTGTAATTTCTAACTTGTGGCAGTATTTCAGCTCTAAAATACTTTATACTAGAATACTCACATTACATCATTGACTTCAACATAGGCTTACTGCTCACAGTGTTCCAGTTCAAATAAGAATATTTGACGGATACTTAAGAGTTCACCAAGCCATTTCTCTTGCCTGTCATTTTCCGATGAAAAAGGTATAAAACAAAATCCAGGTGTTTGGCCATGGAAAATTCTGGAAAAATGCTACACACGTGAGTATTTTTACCTGTTATAGTAGTTAAAATATTAACCAGGAATAGTTCTTTAGAACCTCAAATTGTCAAAGATTTTCATTAAAGACACAGTAATGTGAGCCTTTAAAAAAGTCTATATTCATTTTAATAATGATACTTTCCAAAGGATGGTAGAAGGGAAAAGATCCCAGAAACTATACCAGGCCTAAGCGCTTAAGTTTGCAGATGTTACACTGGGCAAAATGTTAGGCAGCTAGGCAGGTGTACAAATATGTAATTGATTAGGAAGAAGTTTGAGTCCTCACATATCTGCTTATGTGTTTTTGTTATTCGGATGCTATTCTCTCAGTTGATCAAACTTATCCCCTATTTTGATGATTGGCAACCAATATCTGATTTGACTTAAGGCACACTCAATGAGATCGAATCCCATATGTGAGCCTTATAACTTTTAATTTTCTAGTTTTACAGATGCTCTGGCTCCTTGATACCTTATGTAAAATTTATGGCTACATTTTAATAACAACATAGGGCCCATCACATAGCATATATTGCTAACTTTACTCCTTTACTTTATCTTCAACCTACATTTCTGATTTTTTAAACTTTGGAAAAAGGTACATAGGAACAGAGAAAAATATGAGAAAACATTTAGATATGTTTCAATAATACTTATTAAAATTCTAAAGTAAAACATTATGTTATAAAAATATGAAAGTATAAATTACCAGCTTTCTTGTTCCTCAGGAGAATATACTCCAATGAAATCAAAAGAATTAAGAAAGTGAGAAACAATCCACCAACAAGCATTAGCCCCCTTGGAACTTACAGGTGTTAACACCTCTACTTTTAACTGTCACAACATTCATACCATCTTAGCAAATTTTCAAATATTTTGATACAGTATTTGCAGTATTGTTTGAAGAACTAGGCTTCAAATTAATATTTTCAGAAAGAAACATTTCTTACTAAAATTACTGTAAATATCAAGTAGAAGGGAAACAATTTAAAAAACAATTATATTTTTTCAAAGTTTTACATTAGTAGTGATATTAGTGACAAAGCAATTGAGTAATGCTGTAAGAAAATCTATCTGAGAGAAAGTTACTAAGTTTTGAAAGTGAATTTGGGGTATCTGAGGTATCTGGTTAGTGATATATACTATCTAATGGGGCATCTGACTCAAATTCTTTCTGGAATTCATAACAGAGGATTGGGTGTCATGGGAAGTACACAGAAGCAAGAGACACTAACTTCAAAAATCTGTGAAGATGAGAAAAGGCTCTAGCAGAAGCAGGAGTAAGCCTAGAAACACACCTGCTTCTGATCCCACCAGAACGGTATTTTGGTCATTGAGCCATTTGGCACACTGTACTCTACCTTGTATATGCTCTAAATCATATGTTCTGCCCACTAGACTGTTTGCTCCCTGAGAGGCACATCTGGTCCTTCCATCATAGTGCTCATGACAGGTGCGTCACTGCATCCGTGAGACACATATTGTTCAATGGATCACACACATCTCAAACAATGTGCTTAAACAAGCACAATCTGTGGACAAGGTGAAGTTTTCAAGTTTGTAAGAGCATGAATTTCATTAAGGGAAGGGAGAGCTTTTAGTGAGATGCTCAGAGTCCTGATTCCTGCAACATTTCCTACTTCACTTTGACAGCAACAATGACGTTTCCACTCTTCTCACATTTGTGACAGCTTGTCCATCACTGAGGGTGAAAACGAAGAAGTTTTTCTCTCTCTGGGTACTTTCTAATCAAGGATGCTCCAGTCAAAAGGCAATGATATTTTCCTGTTCTCTTACACTACCACCTTGTTTGGAAATTTTATATGCATTATGCTATTTAATTGTCATCGAAATATTTCATCTTATAGTAACTCAGCAAGTCCCAAAGGCCATAGAGTAAACAGTGGAAATAAATAGAAGACAAATTTAGTGCGTTGCATGGGCTGACATTTTCTATCACCATTTTGTTTCATAGAAACACTGTGCAGAAGCAGAGCAACAATGCCAGAGCAAACAAAGGAAAATGCCCTTGCTTCTCCTGTAAGCTGAAAGTAGAAGCCACAAGTACTCAACCAGGGGCTGAAAGGTTGCAGGGTCACCTTGATGCTGATCTTCCTTTTCTGAAGCTCAGAAACAGTCAGAAACTGAAACTATTAAATGAAATAAAGCTTCATGTAGCTGTACTTTTCAATGTTCCTCTCCTACTACAGGTATACTAATGAACTCTTCATCACTCATTATTTAGCTGTTGATGAGGAGACAATAGCTCAATCACGTGCCCAGTATTTATCAACATTTTTACTGACTTCCTCGTTACAGCTTTTTACATTACAAACATCATATGGATAAGAAAAGTCATTTGAAAAAAAAAATCATGGCTCTCAGAACAGCAGAGAATTGTGAAGAGACCAAGCTTAACAAATGCTGTCCCAGTGAAAGAATGTACCTTGTCACTAATAAGACTGGGACTGAAGAGCCACTGCTGCCCATTCTAAGACCTAAGTTTCTCCTTTGGATCTCTGTCATTGATGCTGACTTTGCAAAGTGGCATTTTAAAAATGAGTGAAGAGAAAGCATACACACAAAGTCTCATGAGAATCTGCAGCTATGGTATCTTTAAATTCTTTTGGCAATATATGTCTTTTTAAATGCACAAGATATGCCATGATTAATAGGTACATTGCATGAAAGTAAAATATGTAGAATATATAGAGAAATCATACCTTCTATCAATAGCTCTTGTCCATGACTGCCCAGAAGTGTACGAGATAGGAATGGGGCAAAGTCTACAAAAATTTCACGAAGAAGAGGAGCAACTTTTTCTAAAGCTCTTTCAAGTTTTGCAGTGATGCTGTTGAAATTAAGACATAAAGACTAGTAAATATAATTCAATATAAATGCCAAGTAAACTTTAGTTCTAAATTAAAATATTTATAAGTCACAGTAAAAGTCCAATCCTAGCCCATGAAAAACAGGATGCTTCATATGAAAAGGACATAGTTTTGCACAGACAGGTGCCTGCTCTACAGACTGAAGCTGAATGAGAACAACTGTACTATGAAAAGGAGCCTGAGTTCTGCATCCAAAGGGGCGAAGACTCTGCCACAGATCTAGGAATGTCAGGAAAAAAGGAATTCTTCTATATCTCTGCACATCATCAGTGAAAAGGGCTTTGAGACCTACTGTGTGATCACTATACCAGTCAAAAAGAATTCAACACTCCTGCACTCAAAAGGCATTTCCGGTAACGTGAGACAATAAAGTAAGTAACTGGAAGACAGGTGACTTGTTTTGTCAGAGTAACATTTTTCATTTCCTATGCTCATTTTCTGTCTCAATCCCTGCAATAGTATTTACATTGCTCAGTATTGCATTTTAAGTAGTTGCCTTGCAGGTACATGTTGCAAGTAAAAGAAGAAATGGGAAAGGAAAATATTGTTACATTAGGCAGATTAATATTTTGTCTGTAGAGCTATTTCGTGTAAAAGTGTTGAGAGAGAATGCTCATACAGGAATCCTGGCTCTGCTATCACCTAAGCAGGGGATGCTATGAACATCAGTCTTGCCTGCCTGAAGAATGATCATCCTAACGTCTGCCTACTAAGGATTAATCAGCTAGGCTACAAAATCTGAGCAGAAAAGCATCCACTACACAGTGAGAGGTCCCTAATGTTCGTTTTGTAAGTGATATTTTAGATAGAACCCAGCCATATGTATTCTTTGAAATATGGCTCTGATACATTAGAAAAAAATTCAGTATGACGTTAGATGAGTTCAATGCCCGCACGGGTATGGAGTGAGGAGGTAGTAGAGATGCATCTATTTCAGACAGCCCCTCCAGCTGTGGGGTGAGGCAGAATCACTGCAGACCCTGTTGACACAGGCTGCTTAGTATTTGTTTCTGATTGAGAATATAGAGCTCTAATATGAGAGTGTCCATACCAAGTCTCAGGTGATGCTGATGCTGATCAGGGATCACTGTGACTCTGACTGTTCTACACAGAAACTGATGCTCAGGAAGTGTTAACCCTTAAGGATGTTAAGGGTTACACACAGAAACTGATGCTAAGGAGTTGACAGTATTCAAGTCTCAGAATTCCCACCATCATTGCAGATTTTCTTTGACTTTGAATACTACTAATAGAGACCCCCCCTTTTGCATCTCCTATTTCAGCAAATCCTTTCCATCTGCAGAATCATTTCCTATAGTTTCCCATCTACTATGGAAGCATAAGTGAGAATTACAATTGTAGAAATGTGACAGATCTAGATGACTATTACTAATATTTTCTAAAAATAATATCTCATAATAACACTGATATTTAATTGTATTTAAGATTAATATGAATGAACGCACAGAAATGGGAAAATTCGAGATTCATCAAGTCATATCTTTAGGTTTCCTCATCACACATCACAAAATATTCTAATTGAAAAGTTTTAGTATCCCTTTCTACACTGAAGAAACTGACAAGTTACTGTTGATGTTGATATTTATAGATTACCTAGATTACCTCAAGTGTGTTTTCAAAAGAGGGTAAAATCTGTGTTAATCCATATATAATTATCAAAACAAGTAGAACAGACATAAAATTAACTTTAGATCCCTTTAATTGCCTGGCCAATGAAGACTGAACCCTCTGCATGTTGTGCCAGGCCTGCGCTGCTCTTCTAATGTCTCCGTTAGGTTTCATGGTGTAGATAGGAAAAAGTTATTAACATGCAACTAAGAACCGAACTTCTGCTCGGATGTGGCCTGTGGTAGCTCAGTAACCAAGTAGTTTTCCAAAGTAAGGGGAACACGGTCTATTTCTAACAGGATCTCAAGGGCAGGCTGTTTGACACCCCCCCCCCCCCAGGGGAGGAGCAGTCTGTTAGGCCACAGAGGAGGACTTTGCAGCCAGCCCTGAAGATACCTGATAAAACAGGGTCAGATGAAAGGGGAGGAGGTCCTCCCCTATCAGGGGACTTGGAAAGGGGCAGGGAGGAGACCAGGGAGGGAGTGTGGGGTTGGGGAGGGAATGAGGGAGCGGGATACAGCTGGGACACAGAGTTAACAAAATGTAACTAAAAAGAAAAATAAAATTAAAAAAAAAAAGAAGTTATATCTAGGGGAAACTCCATGGCTTTCAGTATTACAAACAGCTTCTCTCACAGACAAAGTAAAAGGAACTTCTAGATATGGAGGCAGAAGATGACAGTTTCTAGGACAGACAGAGGTACGGCAGAAGACCACAAACCAGCCAACCAACAAACAAACTATAACAAACAGAAAAGAAAAAAAACAAAGAATACTTTTGAGCAAATTACAGCATACTTTATTTAGGGAGAATACTAGGCATTTTTCAATTTTTATGGGAGTTTACCTCATTTACAAAAAACATTGTTATGGTGCACAGAATACAAAAGGGAATTGGCCTCACCATCTTTCAGTTACACTCTAGTAACTTCTTAAGGCTTAGAAAAGTTCTTTCCCTGAAACAGAAGTTGTATCTGGGCTGGAACCAAAACTGTTTGAGCCCCTGACTTCACTCTCCTCACTTGACTCATTACTTGACTTACACTAAGGATGCTCACAAGGCTAGATCAGCTACTCCTTTGAATTTGGCTATTTTTCTGGATAGTAAGCATAAACTCTTAGAGGATTACTAATCTTTATATAGATAATAATTTCACAACTGAGGAATTTATCACCTATTTTAACAAAATGACTAAAGAGAGGAAAATAAAACCTTCAAATGAGGTAATGATACTTCAGACAAGAGTCTACAGATGTAATATCTAATAATAAAACAATGTGTCTGGGAGTATAAGCAGTTAATACTGTTTTTCTTTAAACACTCATAAGTAAGGAATAAACACTTATCTACTTGTTTGTTTGTGAGTTTGGAGACAGGGTCTCACCGTGCACCTCTGACTGTCTTGTAACTCACTACGTAGACCAGGCTGGCCTTGATCTCACAGAGATCTGCCTGCTTCTGTTTCTCAATTGCTGGGATCAAAGGTGTGTGCCACTATACCCAGCTGGTACTATGTTTTATGTATTTTTAAAACAACCCAGTAAATTCTACAAATTTAATATAAACAAAACATAATTAAGGCATGGGAGAAAACAGTGCTTAAAAACCTATGACTACAATACTTATTAAATATTTCCAAACAAGATTTGACCTCAAGCTTCATCCAGTATCATAATGATTGTAAGCAGAATGGCAACAGAATGAGGAAGATTAAGAAGCAATTACAGTACAATTTCCCTCCATGCTGTTTACTATTACTAAGAACTTGTGATTACAACACATTTTGGACATTACACATATTATTAACTTTCTTTTAACAAACTCCATTATTATAATTGTGTTTTAAAATTATAATCTTGATTTACTCTCAAGGTCAAAATTTTTGATAATATCTTAAGTTTCTTAGCATAATTTTATAAATATAAAAATTAATATTTTTTTGTAAAGCTCTTAAATGTATTCATTCGTTAAATCAAAAAGAAATGGGCAGTTATTACAACAGCATGTAAAGCTAAAGTAAGAAACTCTACTATGTAAAGTAATATACTTAAGAGATACAGCAGATACAAAATAATTCAGTTAGGGAATTCTGTGGTACAAACACTTTACCAATTAAATGCTCATATATGAATCAGGGAATGTAGGACTGAGTAGATGATTTGTTTAAGACAATTCGTAGAAAGAGAGTATTGTGGTAGAAAAGCCATACAAGGCTGTTTACTCAGCTTCAGGTTGTGACTAGTAACTGACAAGGACTGGCTTTCAACATTTTATCAGGCTTTCATTCAATTACTGCTATGAAACATGAGTAAGCATACTAGAGAGTTGATGGGTAAACAGATCAGAAATTCCAAAATCAGTAACATACAGTGAGACAGTTTTTAAGCTGTAAGTTTCTAGGGTTGCCGCCACTAAGCAAAACATCATGCTGAAAAAAGAAATGTGTGCTTATTTTATTTTTCCACGATCTTATAAAATATAAAGCTAACATTTCTCCCAATTTCTCCTAAACAGAATAACACATTTTAAGAGCACAATGTACACATTAAGAAAATAGATAGAATTACGCAAGATTAGGAAATTGAGGCTGAACAGAATTCTTCTATATAAGAAGTTTATTACTTTGTAATGTAAACTAAATTTCAAGTAAACATTTTTCATGTTTTAAGAAACGTGATGCTTTTAGGATATCTTTAACTTATTATAAAAGCTTTTGGAGTGCATTTTTAGAAATTTTTATTTGGATGTGTTGTAGATGGAAGAAAATAAATGAACACGTAAATGCAGCAATTCCTCTTTTCAGGTCAATTAGCTGAGCAAAATGCCACCAAACCTCCCTATAGTGAGACAAAAAGATAAAGTCAAGAAAATAAACCATTAATTGAGGCTCAAGATCAGTGATAAAAAGGATATGATAATTGTGTTTTAAATCACTGATAGAGAAATAACTTTCTAAAAAAATAGTTATTTATAGACAATAATGCACAGGAGCTGTTTCCGTGACTCCTTTGGCAGCAGAGCTGAGCAGGGCTGGGGAGCATCCTGGAAGGGAGGGTGTTTCATCCAATTCCACACTCAAAACAAGTCAATGTTTTGGTGAAGTAGTCCAGCCTTGATTTGACTGAGAATGTTACTTCTCTCAAGGCTACTGCAATCCTGATTCTTTCCCATGCGATGTCTTGGATCCTTCCTTGAAATTGTATCACCTTTCTTTCAGACCAATTCTCACTTCCCAAGCCTTTAAAAGTGGTCTTATCCAGAACATTGCCCCATAAAACAGACATACAACCTGTTTTATTTATGAAGCTGCTTCCTGAGGTAGTAATTTAGT